TAATAACACGTATTAAGTAATGGAAACATTTAGTCTGTTTCATCCGTTAGTGAAGTTTTACACAAAAACTGTTTTTATCGAAATTTCATTATTATGATACCAGCTGAATAGGGATGAAATAGCACAGAAAAACAGAGCTTCGCTTTCTCTATCACCTCATAAAAACAGAAAATTCCATCAAGCCTTCTATACGAAATTGAGATGCGCCCGCCACTACTTTTGGGTACCCCTAAGTATATTAGCTCCAGCTTTGAGCTGACTGGACTCGGTCCATGTAACTGAGACTGTTGTGTATCTATTTGAAATTAAGAATCGTACTTTGATAAAAGTTCTAACTTATACTATTAAAAATTCTATTCTTAAATCTATATATGAACACAATAATAAATAAAATATAAATAACTGTTTGCAAATATTTCTTTGACAATGAAAAATTATTATGAATGTTACAAGAGACTACTAATTCATTAAATGTATTGCAAAACAAGTCGTACAAAACAAAAACATTTCTTTTTATTACAGATATGTATGGGACAATTTAACAACTGGTTATATTCAAGGAATGTGTGATCTTGTAGCACCATTACTTGTCGTTTTCGATGAAGGTTATTAGAAACACCTTTTTTGAATAGAATATCTATAATTTTTTTTTGTTTATTTGATATTTAGAAGTGATAGCATATAGCTGTTTTTGTTATTTAATGAAACGTCTTTTACCAAATTTTCCGCATGGAGCTGGTATGGATGAACATTTTGGTCATATGCGTTCATTATTACAAATTCTTGATTTTGAACTTTATGAACATATCCATCGTACAGGAGATTTTACGCATTTCTATTTTTGTTATCGATGGTTTTTATTAGATTTTAAGCGTGGTAAATAATTTTCTTTTTGAATAAATCAATATATAAACTAACTTTTCTTTTTTAAATAGAATTTATTTATGGCGATATCTTTTTGGTATGGGAAACAATAGCTGCTGCTCGACGAACAGTTTCTAAAAGATTTGTTCTATTTATTGCATTAGCTATGTTAAAAACTTATCGAGAAATTATATTAGATAATCGAATGGATTTTACAGATATTATCAGATTTTTTAATGGTATATTTATCATATTCTTTTATCTTTTGTTTTAGAGATTGTTTATCTGCTTGTTTTTTTATTTTTTATAGAAATGGCTGAACGTCATGATACTCGTGAAATTTTACGTATAGCAAGAGAATTAGTGCTTGAATTACAAAATTTGGTTGATAATAAATAAGAGAGAAAAAAGATGAGAATGTGAAAAAATATCATAATGTTTTCTTTTTTCTAGCCGTCATTGTGTGTTGTTAGTTATTTTTCCTTATTATTAAAAAACAAAACAAATTAATATAATTATATTTATTAGTCTTTATTTTTTGACGTTGTTTAACTTAGCCTACTGTTCCACAGATATATATATATATATCATGTGCAATTATTACAGTTGATTGTTGTGACTTAAAGATATATTTAATTTATGTCGTTTTATTTATCGTTGTTGTTTAAAAAAAATAAATATAAAGTACATATTGAAAATTTATATTAATATTTTGATTAAACAGTTAATATTCAATCTGACCAAATAGCTTCATCTAGTAAAATCAAGTAACATTTTATTTATAAATACAGCTATTAATCTATATTTAGTTTATAAAATTAAGATAAATCTAATATTTATAAAAAATAAATAAATTAAAGAATAAAGAAAGATTTTCATATTCTATCTGACAAATTTGCTTGCACTATCGGTAGTAGATTGCTTCTGGGAGAGCAACTAATTGTATACGGTGGGGTATTGGGCGTTCGAAAGATCGTCGACCATTCAAGTATCGAAGTGCAGCCAGTTGATTGTCGATTTAGTGCCTATTATATCAACATTAGAGACTTCAAAGCATCAAATACGGGGAAATCATTGAAGTTGTTCATAAAAACAAAAGAAAAATGGTTCTTGTGTTATCTGTAAATTGAATGTAGTTTGATGAAGGAACTCCATGAAGAGAATCAAGACATTTTATTTTGCTGAGCATTATTTGTTCTAACAAATAAGATTATTTCTGTAATTTCTAAGCATATTAATCCTGATAGAAATCTTTTGAACTACTTAAATGTTTTTCCAGGTGCTTCCTACCTGTTATCATCAAGAAGAAAACTCAAACAATACTGCTGTTGCAAACTTTTGTCCACTACTATATATCGAAAAACTTTTCCTACATACTTTTTTTGTCTATCTCTGATACTATTATTTTTTGTGAACCAACTAAAAAAAAATGAGGTTTTTATCATATTACTCTGTTGTTCTGTGTATTCATGAAAAAAAAATAATTTGTATCTATGATTGACAGACTAAAATAATAATAAAATTAGATAGGGAATATCTTTTTCGGAAAGGCTAAGGAGTTTGTAATAGATGCAACTTTTATCATGAAATGCTTTTGTAGTGAGGTAAGGAAAGAAAATTCAATCTAGTCGTAAATAGTCTGGAAGAGCATTATAAATGGATAATAAAGTATATAGGCAAGTCTAACTACTGTAGCAGTCGAGAATAGAATATTCAAGAGGTCTTTTGATTATTCATTCACTAATTCACATCAATAAAGTACTAAAAGCACTTTATTTATTAATACTTCATATATTTAATACTGACATCTTGTCAGATGGAAAAAGTACTTCATATAATACGCTTCTTTTGATTAACATATCCTATTGTTATATTGAACATTTACCTGTCACTCAAAAGAATTCTTACGTTACTCTATAATTTATTTTTATTTATTTTGGAAGTGAATTATTTTTTTAAAATTTGTATTTTAAAAAGACAAAGATCATAGTTATATTTATGTTTATGTTTTATTATAAACGAGCAATAAACATAAATTAACAATTTTATTTAAAAATCAGATTAAGAATAATAAAATACTGATGAAAGCACATTTCCCATTGTTCGATTCAAGGTGATTTCCATATTGTGATCGTTACAAAATTTGTGTATGATTAATTTTGAACAAGATCAGATATCCATGACTTTCTTCGATGAAGAACATTGTAAATTTCTGATACTACAGATATAATTTCCGTCTAATAACACAACATATTCGCAGTTATTATTCTTCTTTTAATTTACTACACTCGTTCCAAATTAAAATAGCAATCTTTCGAAACACATAGAAGTACANTTCCTATCGGATTACCGTAACAAGGATTCCGACAACTTCCGATAGGATCCTATCGGAAGTTGTCGGACTCTCCAGGGAATCCGATCGGATCCGACTGTCGGATTCTTCGTCCTGGGATGTACTTCTATGCATGTGTACCTTCATATCAATAGTCGACTCCTGTCGATCTCTTGATTTTGTTTCATTTTTTAAGAACCACCATTATGAAATGAACTTATCCAACATAAATATGAAATATCTCATATTTATGTTTCACCAACAACAAAAGTTTCTAATGAAATGATTATATTATCACTAAATATCGAAACTCTTAATGATTTATTACATTCATTTGAATCTACAATGAAAAGTCAAGTAAATTTCTTTTCTATTAATTAATTAAATAAATTAGCAGAATCAATAAATAGCTAAAATATGAAATATTTTTTTATCTATTTATTCTACTTAAATAATTCTTCATTAACTCAACAAATGATAATTTCACGTAAAACATATAAAAAAAAAAACTAATCGTTGTTTCTCATTTTCTGCTTGCTTTTTTTTGTTTAAATGGCAATACATATCGAACACCTTTAATAATAATTTCTTAGTGTGACGTATAATCTAGCTTCTTTTAAAATGAAATTTTGCTTGACGATTATTATTAATTTCATTAACAATAATAACTTCTTCAATATATCGTTGTCTTCGTCTTTCATTTGATTTAGCACGAATAATTCCATTATGATTAATAAAAACTTCTCTATCAACAATATTTATTGTATGTTGTTCCATAATTTCTACTTCTCGTATTGTATATTGTTGATTTTTATGTCGTGATCAACGTTCAATTGATTCAATTTCTGCAACATCTGTTTCACATTGTAATATTTCTAGTTCATTTATCTGATAAAATGTATGTGAACACTATTGAGATTCAATACGTATTGATAATTTTGAACATGAACCATTTGTATTTCCACAAAGTTCTTAATTTATTATTACACTATTTTTATTTGTTAATATTTGATCTATATTATTAAATATAATATGACTTGTACTTGTAATAAACCACGTTTAACAGCATCATCGATATTTATTTCATCATCTGCTATTGGATGCATAAGTAAACTCGTTTTTTATGACGAAATAGTTTTTTTTCGTTATATATGTTCTTGAAGATAATAAACTTTATCAAAAGGTAAATCTATAACATCTATTATTAAATTAAAAAAAAACTTGTTTACATTGATCACGTTAAAAAGATAAAGAATGTTGATCATGAAATTGAACAAGAATTAAATCTTCTTCATGTACTTCAATTATACTCATTTGTTTTTGTGTTGCTCAATAACAAAATATTGTTATATTTGAATTTAATAAAAATGTTTTAATTGCTCTTATGAAATCTAAACGACAATTTGTAACAGAATCCATAACTTATTCAATAAGTAATGTTTTAATACAACTTCATGGATGCTGATTAATTAATTCAGTAAATATTAAACCATTTTCAGTAGCAACATTTATTTGAAGACTTTCACCTGTTAAACTATTTCCATAAAAATATTTTACACGATCAATAATTTCTTAATATGATTTATCTGACAAAAACGTGTTTTTTAACTATATTCATTTACATTATGATCAAATATTTTTTTAATGTTTTTAGTTCTACTTCTTTGTATTTTAATAACCCATTTAAATGTAAATAATTAATTAAACCAAGAAATTCAGCTTTGGTTCTTGATTTGTTGCATTGTTCCATATATTGTCTGAATAATTCATGCTCTTCAACATTTCTTTCCAATCGCTAGAGCATTATTTCAATAAGTTCATCATTATATAATCCAATTTCACTAGCAATTTTTTCTTTGAAATAGACATAATAGTCTCCATTTTTTTATTTGCCATTCCTGTAATATAAGTTTCATTATATAATGCAAGAAGTAAATCTTCATTTATCGAATCCATTTGAATATCATTGCGTCGAAACTCTTGGCATAATTTATTTTTTAATGGAGTCGAGATGGAAAATAATAACTTCTTAAATTCTTTTTCATAAATAAGCATTTGTAAATTCTTTGTTTCTTCAGTCAGGTTGTTGACTTTCATGTCAAGCTGATCAATTTTTTCAATGGCGATGCAATTATCTATGACCAATTTTTCAACTACTTGTCGAAGACTTTTCATAATTAAGTCGAATTGTTGATATTGACTACAATCAGTTAATGATCTTTTATCTTTATCATTTGGTAATAACATATTACCAAAAAGAAATATCAAACAGGGTACAGTTGAGCGATTTTTGTTTAACAAGATTCTTTAAGAGTTCTTCGCCGAATTTTTGCCGGCACATATGCTCTTGTAAATAGAATTTTAATAAAATACGGTGAATGCCAAATGATATTTTTGGTTTTTAACTTTGACACGCATTCAACTATTCTCGACGTTTTGAGTGTGCCCTTTTGTTCGCTGGTCGATATAATGAAGGGAGTGGTTTACAGTAAAATGAACATAATCAGCTTCATTTCGAAGTGCTCGATAAGCCGGCCATTCATCTGAATGTATAATTGTTTCTATAACAGGAAATGAACTTTTAAACGTATTATTGGAAAGTCTTCACTCACCAGGCAAAATATACTGCTGTATTATGGGAATCAATGTCGGGGTGTCACGTTTATCGACTTCAACCATAAAACATTCTCTTGTTGTGAGATCGTTCCACCAAACACTCACTAGTGAGCCTTAAGCGCTCGACCACAATTATACTTTTCCTTCCCAAAACAACTTTCATCGATTTAGACGATATGTCCGGGACCTATTTAAAATATAAATAGGTTTTTTTTATTGAAAAAACAAACCTCCGATTTATACAAGATTTAATATAAAATATTTGGCACATATATCTCGACAAAAGTTGTTCCAATCTACCACCGTTCTTTTGAATCCAATATCTGCGTAATTCATGCATTAGTTTTTCAATTGAGTCTTCTTGACGACTCCAATTATATATGAGTTCAAATATTGAATTTAATGATAGATGTGATTGTTCGAGAAATGTTCCGGCTCGAAGTGATTTTAT